TGAGTTATTTACAGAATGATATCTGTGACTGAACTGGTTTCTATGGACAGGATCTAAAGATGTCGTCATGGTGGGGGGGGACGGTTTGGTAACATCAGGATTTGGGCAGCGTGCTGTAACTCACTCTTCTGTAACAGCTTCACATACAGTTTCCTTCCATCCATCTGAATCCATCAGAGTCACAGCGGGTCTCCAGACGTCTGCGGGTGTTAAAGGAAAGCTCTGAGACCTTAAAGCTTTCTCTCTCCGGTTCATTTTACTGAAAAGAGAAAACTCTGGACAAACTCTTTAAGTAATACTTCATAATATATATGTATTAAATAACCAGGAGACAACAGATTTTGATAGAACTCGTAATCTTACTCGGATCAGAGAAATTGCTTAGATTTACAGAAGGCAGCTGGTTACCAATCATCACTTCTTGGGAAGTGACCCTGATTAACAGTTAAAGAGGCATTTTACACATCTCCAGTCTGCCACATCATCACATCAAACATGTTAGGAGATGAGAAGCCATAAATGCCTCCAGCCTTATCAAAATATTACACTTTGTTCTTAGCTGAAGGACGCCGCTCTCATTCCGATCCCAAATCTCTGCCACATGCAGAATGAACATTATGCCTGTATATAGCCAGACTGAGGAACTGGCCTAATTAGATAAACTACTGGGGAAAACATCAGCTCTGACATGAAACAGGCCGCTAATATTAAGGTGTAATAAACTCACACCTCATCAATGATAATTATCCTAACAGGTGAAAGGCGGGGTGCACCATGAGGCAGCAGCCTTTTTCAATGTTTGCACTGACTGATGCTTTAAGGCCATTATGTGGATCAATATGAGAGCGAATGCTGCTAAACATCATTTACTTGTTAGCATTTAGGAGCAGCTTCAGCTGAAGAAGTGAGAAATGCAGTCAGTGCTTGGCTGAATAGAATTTATCAGATGACTAAAGACGTTATTTATCAAAAGTTTGAAGAGGACAAAGGGGAAGGATACATCCTTGCTGGACTCCTTTGCTGATGTTTAGAAAGTAGACTTCACTCCCTGTGTTCTGTCTGAGTGTCTCTGAATCCCCCCCACACCCAAGCACCTCGGTTTGTTTAGCATAGCTGATGGTCGACAGAATCAAATGCTTTAGAGAGATTCACAAACGGGGGGGGGGGGCAGTTTGCTATCCAGGGTGTTAATTACATAATTAGTTAACGACACCACAGCTTTACTGTGAGCTGCTCTGAAACCGGACTGGGTTTCATGTGGAAGGGAGTCCTTTGGTGTCTCTGTGTTGCCCTGCGATAGACTGGCAACCTGTCATTAGTTATGCATAATGGTCTTAAAACATTAGTCGGTGCAAACGCTGAAAAAGGCTGCTGCCTCTGAATCTCTGAGTGGATTGATGATTAACTGTCCTTCTCAACTATTATAGAACATCTTTAATAGAAGCTGAAGCTTTGATCAGCTTTTACTGCAGAAATAAATCAAGCTTGATCCCAGATATGAGGAGAAGACGTGTGCAGTCCACCTTCCTCCTGATCCTGGACTATGGAGACATTCTGTACTTGAACAAAGCCTCTTTTGCCCTTAACTGCTTGGACACGCTTGATCCGTGTTATCACAGAGCAGTACGATTTATCACCCACTCAGCATCCAGAGCTCATCACTGCCAGCTGCTCTTCCTGCTCTCATGGTCTTTGCTCCTCCTGAGGAGACGGATGAACTGGCTAATATACATTTATATGGCTGGTTTGGTCAAATAGTCCTCTAAGCTGGAGTGGATATGATGTATGGGGATGGCAGAATGATGCTGTGGGGGTATCTTCCAGTGGTGCAGGAACATTGGTTAAAGTGGATTTAGACTGAGGGCTTCAGCTTCACTTCATATCAAAAGTTAAAGGACTAAACCTGGGAAAGCGCCGTGACCCCAAACCTGGAATAAAACTAAAGGGTCATTTTATGGCCTCAACAGTAACCCTGTTAGAAAACGCTGCAGGACCAACAACAGTGTTTATCATCTATTTATAGAGCAGGAGGTCCTTTGGTCAAACTGTTGTTTGCTGTAACTTTACTCCTCTGTGCTCAGAGCAGCTGCTGCCTTCCTGCTCAGATTGTTCCTGTCACTGAAACCTGGACTTCAGGCAGATCAGGATGGATTTAGGCTGCAAATGAAAAAGCTCTTCTGCTTTTCAACTCCTTCAACTCGTTTCTCCATATTTAACACAGTTTCACTACAGCTTCAACAAAAAATAGTCCAATAGAAATATGTCACATTGCAGCTCAGCGTTTCTGCTCGTTCTACCAAACTTTGCACATCATCTCTAAGTTGGTTCTGTGCAGATCAAATCTTGCAACATTCTCTGGTTTCCAAGTAGACTTAAATTTCATGTCCGTGTTTATCCCAAAGCAAAGGTACTCCATTCTTTGAAAATCATCTTCCATTTATTTCATGTATATGGACTAAATTTAACCATAAAAATTAACTAGTTGGATGTAAAGAAAAGTTGATTTGGCCTTTAGATAAGGCACTGTTCAAAAGGTTTTCAATAATATTTTTTTTCCACCTCCAAACATTTGAAAAAATAAATACAGACTTCTCAAATAAAAACAAAAAACAAAATGTAGCTCAGGGCATTGTGCTTCCAGAGTGTCATGATTTGTTTATGGAAGGTTGACCCAAAGCAGAGGCAGGAAGGCAGAGGTGAATTGTAAGTTGATTTAATGATGAATAACTGAAAAAACAAACAAACAGGCAACCAAGAATCAAAAAATCCAAAGATGAAAACTAAGTCCAAAAAAAAAACAGAAATCAGAAGTTCAAAAAAATCCAAAGATCTAAAAACAAGAAGGCCATAAATCAAGTGAAACGTTACCCCCCAAAAAATGGAGTCATCAGGGGAATTACTTTAACCAGGAAGACTTAGAGAGACGAGTTAGAGGAAGACAGACGAGGACCCAGCAAAGAGGAACTGAAGACAGAGGGCTTTTAAAGGAGACTGAGACAAAGAGAGGGCTGATGAGAAGACTGGGAACAGGTGAAGACAGAGCAGAAACAAAAACAGGAGCTAGGGAGAAAGCAGAACACAAGAGGGCAGCAGAGGGCAACAAATGAAAAAACATGGAAGACTGAAAAATAACTAGAAAACACAACAAAATAATAATTAAACCACTAGGACTCTAAAACAAGGAGAAAAGTAAAAGTAAACACTCAAAAGAAAATATAACAGAACAAAGACTGAAACAATAACTAAGAATTAACCAGAGAAAACAGCAAAACAAAAATAAAACTACTAACACTAGAAAACAAGGAGCAAAAACCCAAATAACACAATAAACTAAGAATTAAACCATAAAAACTAGGAAACAAGGAGAANAAAGTTGATTTGGCCTTTAGATAAGGCACTGTTCAAAAGGTTTTCAATAATGTTTGTGGAAAGTTGACCCAAAGCAGAGGCAGCAAGGTAGAGATGAATTCTAAGTTGATTTAATGATGAATAACTGAAAAAAGTCCAAACAAACAGGCAACCAAGAATCCAAAAATCCAAAGATGAAAACAAAGTCCAAAAAAAAAAAAAAAACAAGAAACCAGAAGTAAAAAAAAATCCAAAGATCTAAAAACAAGAAAGCCATAAATCAAGTCAAATTACCTCAAAAAACCATGAGGTCATCAGGGGAATTACTTTAACCAGGAAGACTTAGAGAGACGAGTTGGAGGAAGACAGACAAGGACCCAGCAAAGAGGAACTGAAAAGAGAGGGCTTTTAACGGAGACTGAGACAAAGAGAGGGCTAATGAGAAGATTGGGAACAGGTGAGAACAGAGCAGAAACAAAAACAGGAGCTAGGGAGAAAGGAGAACACAAGAGGGCAGCAGAGGGCAACAAATGAAAAAACATGGAAAACTTACAATAACTAGAAAACACAACAAAATAATAATTAAACCACTAAGACTCTAAAACAAGGAGAAAAGTAAAACTAAACACTCAAAAGAAAACATAACAGAACCGAGACTGAAACAGTAACTAAGAATTAACCAGAGAACACAGCAAAAATAAAAATAAAACTACTAACACTAGAAAACAAGGAGCAAAAACCCAAATAACACAATAAACTAAGAATTAAACCATAAAAACTAGGAAACAAGGAGAAAAGCAAAACTGGGTACTCAAAAGAAAAACATGACAGAAAACAGAAACCTAACACAGAGGTTCTGAGTTAAAGTCCCACTGCCACAGACTGCCACTCCGGGTCCCTGAGCAAAGACCCTTAACCCCACAATGCTCCCCGGGCTCCGCACAATGGCAGCCCACTGCTCCTCAAGGGGAGGAGTTAAATGCAAAGAGTTAATTTCGTTGCTCTACACTTGTGACAGTGGAATGACACTGGAAAAAAAACAACAAAATATAAAATTAGAGAGATAATTATTTAGGTATACACTTCATGTTCTAGACAAAGGCGATAATGGTTGAAATCATAACTTAATAGATAAAATAAATTGTCCACAGCATAGAAGATAACCTTTGTCTTTCTCAGATCTCTATTTAAAAAACGTGCAAACACAACCATGAAGGCTGGACTCCATTACCTTAAGACTGAACATAAAGGCATTTTTCCGGGCTAAAATTGAAAAAAACAAAATAAGAAGAGAAACTCCAGTTTAAATTAGGTTGGACTTTTCACTGGAAGAGTCCCATCAGCAGCTGGAAACATTAAACATGGCCGTCTGTATAATAACCTGTTCTTTGAACTTTCAGCTGCGTGAATCTTTTAAGGAGCTGAAGAAACGTTTCAGCAACACTAAGTTCAACTACCTGAAGAGAAACGACAGAACCAGGAACCTGAAGGCCGTGTGCAACCAGCTGCAGCAGATGGGGGCGTACCAGGAGAAGCTGCAGGTACGTCAGAGCAGAACAACCAGTCCTGAGTCCAAAACCACGACTTTTGCTTGATGATTAACCCTGAAGGAATTAACCCTCCGGACCTGGCTGGTCCCATGAGAGCCTCAGTGGAAAAGAAGAGTGAACATTCAGAAAGCAGCGATTGTTTCCAGTTTTTATGACTAAAGGAACCACATTTTTCTTCTTCCCTGCTCTGAAAATTTGTAGTCGTTCCTCCTTCCTGCTTTTCTAATGTTCTGCAACAGTTGGGAGGAAACTTTTGCATTTAGAAGTGAAACAGCAGAGTATCCAGGAATGGCCTAGGATTGTATTTTACCTTAAGGAGGATAACAGAACAAGGCAGTAACTTAGTTCTGTTTTTTTATTTGACTGGACTGTATTAAAATCTGCATCATCTAACAAACATAAAACTCTTTTGAAACCTTTTTATAGTTATGGTTTGGACCTTTAGGTCAAACATAGCCTGGACAGTTTTGATTTGAGGCTTGGATTTAATATAGAATCTCTTTGTGCTCCGACTTAATTGATTTAGTATTTTCTATTTAGGTTCTGGTGTTTGTTGGGTTTAAGTGGTGCATTGTTGTGGTTACATGTTGTCCATCTGACCCTACAGAGCCTTAGCAAGCGGATTCATGGTGTGACGGCCCGGCTGGGTTCTGAGGCTAAGAACACCAGCGCGGCCCGGCAGGTGGAGGACGCAGTCAACGAGCTACAGAGACAGACAGGACAGCTGGAGAGAAACATCTGTGAACACCAGAAGACTCTGGACATGACGTTCAGACTGCAGCAGGCGATGGAGGAGGTACCACTGCTGAAAATCAGTCAGGATCATTGATGATCAGTTGGTCTACTTCAGCTTGTTGCTCTGCATCCACAGTACCAGTTCTGGTGTGAGGAGGCCAGCGCCACCATTACTCGGGTGGGGAAGTTTTCTTTGGAGTGTCGAAGCACAGAAGCCGTTTCTGTTCTCTATCGGCAGTTTGAGAAGTTTGTTTGGCCGACGGTTCCTCAGCAGGAGGAAAGGATCAGTCAGATTACAGAGCTGGCTGTTAGGCTACATGGTGGGTGGAAATAAAACTCAGTCAGGGGCTTTTATTCTGAAAAACACAACACACCATTCATGGATTAAGGCCGGAAAGAAAGTTGTTCATGTGTTAATTTGAGCTTTTATTTTTTTATATAACACCTGTACTTTAATTATTGCAATATTAGTTATTTTAAAGGGTTAAATATCTGATCATTAAGTAGTACAAATTTTTTTTCTGAAAGGAAAGATTATTATATCTCAGCTGACCATAATTGTTTGCCATTAAAAACAAAGCGTTTATTCAAACAGAAAAGCTAACATGAGTTAACTGGAGCTTTTATTGTGAAAGGACAGGGATCTGCTCATTAGCTGAATATGTATTATAAAAGGCAATAATTTATTCTGAAAGGTTACCTGAGCTTTCCTGATCATCTAACAGGAAATTAAATTACCGCATATCACAAGCCTTTATTCTGAAAAAAAAGTTCCATGATCAATAGCAAGTGAAATGCATAAACACCCGCATTTTAACAACCAGATAGCAAGAGCCTTTATTTTGAAAAATATCTGATAAATTCTGAAAGACAGCTGTTTTATTATCATCTTATCTGAGCTTTTAAAGTATCAGTTATGTAAATATATGTATCATGAGCTTTTATCTTGAAATTAAAAATTTCCTAGAATTTGGTTTATAGTTAAAGGAGAAGAACAGTCCGTTGGATCAGTTGAGGTGTTGAAACCAGACCAATCAGATTACCGCACAGTTTAAACATTTCTACTTATGTATTAGAAAATGTTTATTAAAGCAAAATGAAATGTTATAAATGAAATATTTTGGTGTTTCAGGGGTGGAGGAGGGGCAGCGTTACATCGAGAAGACAGTCAGTAAACACTCAGAGATGGTGGAGTCCATCAGAGAGCTGAGTGACGGACTGATGGAGCTGGAAGCCAAGCTGAAGGTGAACAAACTCTTTTTGAAGGTGGAGATCCAGATACATGCACAGGAGACATGGTGGTGTGGAAAACAATTAATAGAGTTTCATTTTGCTTCCTCTCTCATGATGGATTCATTTGTCTGAGCATATTTGGTCAGAGCGCAGGCTGAACATGTGGCTGTTCTTCTGATGTTTTCAGGTGGAGAGTCTTAAACAGCAGCCGGATGAAGAAAAGAAAGCAGAGAGGAGACAGACGGAAGAGGTGGAGGAGGTGGGAGAAGAAAGGAAGATGAAACAGAAGGATAACCGCAGCGTGCAGGAGGCAGCTGACATGGTAGAGATGAGTAAGCTAAATATAAGGTTAAAAATATCTGATGTTATTGACAGGAAGGTTTTTTTTTTTTCCAGCGTGAACTTAAAGAAACGGGCCACACCCCCGAACTAATCACAAAAAACGATAGAAACGAAGCCGCTTCGGCCAATGAGACGCCTCCATTACAGAAGAGTCAAGGTCAGGAGGTAAACGGGCCCACAGCGAGCAGGTTAGTGGGAACTCATGAAAAATAAATATTTCTCTGCCTCAGTGTTTTTTTTTTGTTTTTTTTTTAAACCCGGTAATTATGATAAAACATTTGGATATAACAAAGATTTTTTGTAAATGTCCATAGAACCGAGTGGATCAGACTCCTTTGGTTTTACCACCTTTTATGGTTTTCAATTGTTCTGTTTTCAGCAATAAAATTAACTCAGAGCAGAAGTGGATTGTTTGCATTAAAGTATCTAGTCTATAGATAAAAACTGGAGTATGTAAGGAAATTGTGGAAGCATTTTGTTTAAAAACACAAAAAAAAAATCCAGTGTGGTTATGTACAATAGCAATAAACTGTGGTTTTACATTATTGTCTTCAACTACAGAGAGTTACACAGAGGGAAGTTCACCGCCTCCCACACCCTCGCCATCTGCTCACCTGTGGATGTCAAACAACAGATCCAAGCCACCCAGAACCAGTCACAGAGCACCGCTACCGTGCCTAAAGCTAGACCTTCTCAGTCTGTCCTTAGTCCACCATTCTCTGATAATCAGGAAGATTTTCAGCAGGAGACGGAAGGAACAGAACAGCAGATAGATTCTAGTTTCTGTGGATCCAAAACATTTTCCCTACAGGTCAGATTCAGCAGTTATATTGCACTCTACGCTGATGATTCTCTGCTATATATATCACAAAAAAACCTGTTCAGTTAGAGGGTGAGTCATGGGCTTAAAGGGAAACGCCGTTTTTTTTACATTGGTCCCACTCTAATGAGAACCACTCTACTGAGATCTCAGAACTTAGTAAGAGGGACATTTTTCTAAGCAGCCTCAAATTGGGGAAAATTTTATTTTCATTTAAAATATTAATAAAACCATCAGCTAAATGTTTTCTTCCTTTCACAGGACGAATCATTGAATGTGGAGCTCCATCAGCCTGAGGATTGCTTTTCCAACGATGAATATGACTGTGCTTCCCCTGACGACATCTCCCTGCCTCCACTGGCAGAGACCCCAGAGTCCAACATGTTCCAGTCAGACGTGGAGGACGGATTCTGTTTTAGTTCACACAGTGTCCACATCAGTCAGGTCAGCCACCAGTGCCACGCCCAGTCAGAGCCAACAGGAACTGGTTCTGTCCCCCAGCAGACAGAAAGCTGTCCCGCTTCTTCGGTCAGTCGTCAAAGCAGCAGCAGGTTTGTTTGAGCCGCACTCCGTCTACTCTTTGGTGTTTACCCTTACAATGCTTTCAGAGGACAGATTTTGATTCTGTTGTCCCACAGGTTCAGATCAGAGTCCAGATCCTTCATCCCAAGTCCATCAACAGTTCCTGCTGCGACGCTCTTTACCAGCAGTTTGTGCACCGTCCTGAAATCCAAGGAGTCCAGCACTGTCCAACTGGACGGCCCCGTCCATGGAAACAACAGCGTATACGGCTCTAAAGATAGAAATGCTCCAAAGATGAGGAGTTCATCCACAACCCCTAAACAGGGTCTGAGTCAGACCCTTCATCCACAGTCCTCTAGTGGTTCTGATGTTGGGCTCCACAGTAACAGCATTCCTAAAAGAGACACAGGGGATCAAGAATTCAGCTCTAGTTTCACTAAAACCAACCGTGTCCTTCCTGAAGACAGGAATTTTCCAGAATGCCATCATGACTCGACAAGTCAGATCCTTCAGGATGTGAAGTCAATCAAAAATCTGAGAGAAAACACGCCTCCAGGAGACAGTCTTATTAAGACCACCACCAGTTTAGTTTTCCAGCAGAAAGTTTCCATCAAATCCTCTTTTTCAGACAGTCGTTGCACCATCACCTCTCTCTGTAATCCATTCCCGAAGGCGTCCTCTCAGACGTCCAGCATTACAGACCGTGTCTTCCACAAACATACGGCTCAGCTGAAGAACAGTGACTTTATAAAACCCCCAACACTCCCCCAGAGTTCAACAAT